TTGTGCTTTTATGGTGTATTTTTTGGAGCTTGAAAGCCCCTGATAACTATATACTCAAAGAAAATGTCTCTTTTGGAACAAATAACAACATCTGAGGATAAGTAAATTATACAATTTCCATTTTTAGGTGAACTATCTCTTTAAGGCACACTGCGGCACTTTTGAAGATAACCGTTTGCAGCAAAAGGGAGTATTTAGAGTGTGAGTCATGTGACTTTTGTTGAGCACTGCATCAGGGACCAGCAGTGCCCACAAGCGACCACTGGCACTTTCTCTCTCTCTCTCTCTCTCACCAGCAATCTTGCAACCAGTCTGCCTCCTTATTCTTGCTGTTCTCCTTCTCTCCCTCGCTCTTTATCTCCCTGTGTGCTGTGCAGCCAGTGAGGAGTCTTGCATGCCTAATTTGAGTTAATGATGCCAGGACTCGTGCAGGCCTGAGGCTCCAGCAGGAGAGCAGGAGGAACAGCTGTGGCCAGGCTGAGACAGCATATCTCTCAATCTCTATTTCTCCTTCATTCTTTCTCCCTGCGCATCCTGACATGTGTGCCCACAGCAGCACAGCCTAATGACGTCTCCTACGTGAGGAAACCATCTCAACTGCACTAGGAAATCAGGAGAGAGTAGTCTTGACGAGCAATCTTGAAATGGAAGCAGAGAAGGGCGAAAAATCATCCAAGATTAAGAAGAAGACAGGCAGCAAGGGGAAGAGGGAGAGAGATAGAAGGGAACAGATTTAAGACTGCAGGGAATTTGAGGCGAGGAAAATCCAGCAGCAGAAATTAAGCAGCTTAAAGTAACTGCTCGCTAAAGCTTAATTCTGATGAGAGGGTCCTCACACGGTCTCATGCAAGAGGTTGCGCGGGCTGTAAAGGATAAGAGAAGACAGGCTGACAGGGAACAGAGACTCGGTGACGTGGATTGGGAGACAGAAAGAGAGAGAGAGAGAGAGAGAGAGAGAGAGAGAGGGGGCTGTTTCATAACCAAAGGTTGACATCTCTCTGATGAGTTTTGTGCTGACAAAAAATATGTGTCAGCACAGCCACCTCTGAGCCTCCGTGTTTCACCTCTGTATGGCATGAAAATCAGAATTTGAGCAAAGGCGCTTTATTCAGGCTTGATGTTACAAATTTAACCCAGTGACAAGATACTAAGCTCATTCGGAAAGTTTAAAGAAAGAATTAGGCTTCTTTAACTTCTTTCTTCTTGTCTCTGCAGGAAGCATCAACCGAACAGGGGCTGTCCCTACGTTTCTGCGGACCCCCACAGTCATCCAGCCTCATCTGGATATGAAGCCCTTCCTACAGTTTCCGATGGAGACTCCGCCTCCACAGAGCCTTGGGCTCTTCCACAACTTCAATGCGGTGAGATTACGCCTCTGAAAATCTTTGTTGACAGTGCTGCATTATTGCATTACTCCTAAAAAACAAATATGCTATATTGTTACTTTTCATGGAAAGTGTTGTCAGGACACCTCATGCCACTTGATATTAGATTAGACAAAGTTTGTATATAGGTTGTTATCTACAGTATGTCACAATGCTATTGGACAGTTTTTCAAAACTGATAAATAATAATAAATTGCTTTTGGAAAAGATGTATATTATGGTAATTGCATTAAGGTAGTGATTCTCAATTTGTGTGTTACTTTCGGTTGAATACTAAATAAAAATTCAGCTTTGCCATCACAGGAATAAATGACATTTTCAAATATATTAAAATAGAAAATATAATAATTCACAATATTACTGTATTTTTGGTCAGTTAAACATACACTTGCTGAGCAGAAGAGACTTATTTAAAAAAAAAAATTGTTTTAAATCTTTCTGACCCCAAACTTTTAAACAGTGCATAACAAAGGAAACGGCTTTTAAATATTCAGAAATAAATGAATAAATAAAAAGTGATGCTGCTTTTTAGGAGCAATATTAAAAGCATGCAAAAATGAAAACTCATGCATGTAATTCATGCATGTGGGGGACAGTGAGGAAACATAATATCATAAAGTTTTCTAAAGCCATACATTAAAAGGATAGTTTGGTGAAAACTCTGATGACCTTGATTTTGGTCACCATTCCAAACCTACATGACTGACTGACTTCTGTGGAACATAAATTGAGATATTTTGAGAAATGTAACAGTGTATTTTGTCCATACAATGCAAGTCAATGGTCACCAAAACAGGTTGGTTACCAACATTCTCCAAAATATAATCTGTGTTCCACAGAAAAAAAAAGTTATACAGGTTTTGAACGATGTAAACAATGAAACAATTTTCATTATGTGCACTATCCCAGTATTTCCTGAAAATATTCCCCTCCACTATTCAGATCTGGTGTATTAATGTCATAATATGCTAATGTGTACTTGTTGTTATGAAACAGGGTTCGGATTACATAAAAGATGACCTTAAATATCATTCCTGGCTTGTTTGTGTATTTGAATGTGCCTGGCTGCTGTCCGTTGGACGGTGTAATGCTGTGAGTTCTCTCATGTCATCGTGACTTATAGCTAATCATTTTGATTAGCATGCAGCTCGTTTCACTCTCTCAGCACTTTTACTCCGAGTCTGTTCTGCACATTTCCCAGATTGCATTCTGTTATGTAAATGAGGATGCTGGTCAGCAAATTGAATGGGAAAGGTTAGTTGTGGGATCCAGCCATGCCTGAGATGTCCGTCGTTTGTATTCTCTCTCCTAAATTCCCTGTATTTGCCTGCACTTGTTACCAGTGTGAAAGATGGCCTGCCCTTTGGCACAGTCTCGTAACACTGAGAAGGAAAAAACACTCTCCCCATGCCAGCTCAATAAATCCACATCACACATTGCCTTCCAATTCTGCCACATTATTATCTTTTTAGAAAAAGCCAAGGGATGTTTAAATATTTTGAAATATGCATGAGCTCGTGAAAGAGTCAGCATCTAAGAGCTTAACTACTGTCTCTTGTACTTACGCCATTTATTTTATATTTATACACTGAGCTGTAATCTTTAGATCTAGGCAGTTTAAGCATTGCAGCAGGCTATTAATCACTACGGTTAAAGGCTCAATGTGAGAGTGACCTGAAGTCCGAAGGGGAAATTGTCCTGATGCCCAGTAGGGGGCGATGTTGGGGAGGCTGGAAGGACAGGCCGACCTCTCTCTAGGACACCGCTGAAAGCACACTGCAGTGTTTATGCCATTGCCTAATGGAATACTGACATTAACAAGAATTCACTCACACAGACTGTAATATATATAGGCTTCTATTGAGGTATTATACTAACAGCTGGCATCAGTTGTGTGGTTTAATTAAATGTCTTTTGACATTTGAATATGATTTGATTTAAAATGAGCATGCACAGAACTGAACCCTAGCTTCACTTTACATTTATAATTATTAGTTTTATAATATATATATTTTTTATTTTATATAATGTCTGCCAAATACATAAATTAATTTTTAAAAATGCATAAAAAATGTATTACTATTTATTAATTTAGCAGAATTGTCATAAATTAGAACTTAAAATCAAATGTGCACAATGCAATAATAATCAAATGTGCTCATAGTTTTGTTTGAAAGTCTATGGTGTGTTTGAAAGTATGTTTGAGTCTATTGAATCAGTTCATCCCAAGAAGTTCTCTCTTTCATTTGTAGCAATGTAGCAACTTTTTGAGCACAAAGAAAACAAAAATAACGACTTTATCCAACAAATTCTTCTCTTCCTTGTCAGTTTTCGATGCGTGTTCATGCATACGTTGTGGTACTCTCGTGAACACGCGCAGAAGACTAACATGGAAATTGTTGAATAAAGTCATTAATTTTGTTTTCTTTGCACACAAAAAGTATTCTTATAGCTTCATAACATTAAGGTTGTGCCACTGATGTCACTATTTTAATGATGTCCTTACTACCTTTCTGGGCCTTGAACATGGTAGTTGCATTGCTGTCTATGCAGGGTCAGAAAGCTCTCAGATTTCATCAAAAAATATCTTAACTTACGGGTTTTAAACGGAATGAGTAATTAATGACAGATTTTTCATTTTTGTGTAAACTATCCCTTTAAATCTTTTTATTTATAGTTACATTTTATTTATCAAAAACATATTACTCCTTATGTAACTTTAGTGTAGCTAGTTTTTACAACTTCTTGTTTGTGGTTTGTTATAAACCAGAACTTTTTTAAATCTCTAAATTATGATTAGCTTTGCTTGGCAAGCTGCAGTTTCAAAGTAGTTTCCCCAGCGCTGCTTATAAACATACAATATGTCAGCTGTGCTCAAGTTGTTCTGTCTGGAATCGCATTCATGTTGGAATGCAATCAAACAGACTTGAAGCTGTAATCTAGTTCAAAGTATTTTTCAAAAATGTGTGGGTTTGGCCAAATAATTATTTTGCTTTGTAAATTTTACCAATATCAGATGCTTTTGATCAGCTGTAGATAGAGCCGGGGTGGACCACAATCTTCCATTCCTCTACAGTCCAGCTGTAATTTGTCTTTAATGTGATTTGGCTTCTACCTGCCTGTCTGAGTCAATGCGCCTGCAGGCACTGAGGCACCTGAATAATTTATACCAAGCAGCTGGTTGTGGCGTGGAAGTACAGAAAACCTCCCTCAGACACTTGCTTATTCTGCAGAATCAGGAATTTCAGAGGCGTTAGATCGGGCGGCTCGTGCGCCAACTTGTTGCATCTCACCTGCAGCCTCCTTCGAGTAAAGCCTCGCTTTTTTTAACTCGCAAAAGGTGACATTTATGCGCACAGCTTGCCAATTTTCCTCACTGAGTAATGCAACTCCACGTGGACTTTTGGAGTTGAAACCTTTTGGCTGCATGCACTTTACCTCCGATGACCCCCTCGAAAAACTGTAATTTTCGACCTTAATAGCTGGAAGATATCAAACACAAGGCATTACGAGTTCAAATATTTTTAGTACTTTTATTCATCTCGCCCGGGTCGCCGCTGTATTGGTTCCACATGTGTTGTAAAGGTATGTGGCAAGAGCGAGAGGACCATCATGACGGGGGAGCCAGAGGAGGGCTGAATTCTGCAGCTTGTGCTTTTGATAGAATGAGGGAGTGGAGGGTGATTTGGGGAGTGAGCGAGTGCATGACATTCTTAGTGCATCTGGGCAAAATAAGCAGTCAGCGAGTGAGCAGAAAGAGAACAGAAAGAGGAAGGAGATCAGTGAAAGAGAGCACAGGAAAGAACGACAGAATTTATTATTGGAGTAAAAAAAAACGGGAAGGAAAGGAAAGGAAAGAAAAGCAAGTAAGAGGCAGAGGAAAATGAAGAGAGAGCATCCAACCAGGATCGTAGTCTTGGCTTGCTGTGAAGTGTCGGGAAGGATGGAGGGAGGAATGGAAGGAAGGTGGATGAGATTAAGCAACGGAGAACGAGAAACCAAACCGTAACGGCAAGAGTGACGACCGACTGTGGAAAAGAAGCAGCAAAACTAGGAAGAGAGACAACAATTAATCATATCTTGGACCTGCAAACGCAAGAATCGCTCGCTAGCGTCCCCAGAAGTGGGCACAGAAGCGTGTGAATGTGGGAGAATCAGGTGGTGTGGTGGGACAGCTAGGATCCCTTCTGGATGAGTGACACTCTCACACACACCCTCCCACACACAAACACGAGTTCCCTCATGGAGGATCCAATGCAGCTGCGAGATCCAAGCGCTTCTGAGGATAAGAAGGTGAGTGCCCTCCGGCTATAGCTCAGGCAGAGACGTAACAAAGCTGAGTACTTTTCTCTGTGCAAAGCACTGGATGCCGAACAGCATTTGTTAACTTTGTGGGATGTTTTATCTGCCATTGCACCTTGAATGCAGTGCATTTTGGGCTTGTGGTGTTCGACAGGCTGAAACAATCCATGGTTTCTATTAACTGACATAAGACCTTTTTTTTTTATCTAAATTATATGACACTGTTGTATGGGCATATTTCCTTTAAAAGGATAGTTCACCCACAATTATTTGTTCACCTTTATTCTGTTTCAAACCTGTATGACTTTGTTTGGCACAACACAAAAGAAGATATTTTAACAAATGTTTCATGTGTTTTTGTCCATACACTCTCAGACAAAAAGGTACAAAAGCTGTAACTGTGGCAGTTACTTTTCAAAAGGTGCATTTTTATACATTTTAGATACTAATGTATACACTTTAGGTAATAATATGTACCTTTAAAGGTACTGATATGGACTTATGGTACTGATATGATACTGTATGTACAAATGTGTACCTGCTGAAGAGGTACTGTCTCAGTGACAGCTTTTGTACCTTTTTTTTTTTGAGAGTGTACAGTGAAAGTTAATGTGGTCCAAAACAACATTGGACCCCACTGACTTTTCACTGTATAGAATAATCACTACTCTACAGTATGTTCCACAGAAGAAAGAAAGCCATAAAGGTTTGGAATGATATAAGACTGAGTAAATGATGGCCCTTTAAGGGGTCATTAAAAGGTCTGTGCTTTTCTAATGAGAAGAATCTGGCTATTTCTGAACAGTTATCAGTTTGTGGGATGCGGTTTTCCAGAGGGAGCATCAGGAGGTCATATGACAGACACTGTGCTTGCCAAATGGATGAATGTAACGTGCTGTTAATTGCTCACTTTGATAATTTGTATAGATGCAGTGTCTGCCAATACCATAAAAACAGCATGTTAGAGAGGCATTGATAAAACCAGCAATATTTCACATACTGGCCTTTAAAGGGAAAGTACAAAAATAATCTCCGTTGTTCAAAAAATTTCCATACAATGTAAGTCAGTAGAGTCCAGTGTTGTTTTAGACCCAACTGACTTACATTGTATGTCCTTCAGAATATCTTTTGTTCTGCAGAAGAAAGAAAGTCATGTAGGTTTGGAACGACATCAGGGTGAATAGATGATGACCGAATACACATTTTCGCCTTTAAAGCATCTTTCAGCTGTGGTTTGGTGGTTTCTTTAGTTAAATTCTTGACGCATCCTCATAAGCTGTATCATAACATCATTTACGTTGAAGGAAATTTGTTGGGATAGTCATGAGCCAAGATGTCTCTCTTTTCCGAGAAAGTTGGAGGAGTAAATCACCACCAGCAGAAGACCACTTCAATGCAGTGCTATTTTTACTTCACGACGTGAAGCATGATGGACCAACACCCAGGATTTTGGTCTATAGATGCATGTTAACTTCTGTATGTTATTAAATCTTGATTAGAAGGGTGTTCTGAGTTGAAACGCAGCCAGTAGACTTTAAAAAAAGACGTGACCCTTTAAAAGTAATCTTTTTCTTATGAGAGGCCTTTGATTTTTTCCCGTAGAGCCCGTCGGAGCCCCTCCCTCGTCCGTTTCCTCGCCGAGGCTGTTAGTACTGACAGTTGTATCTATTGATGTGTTCTAGCTGGAGGTGTTCTGATTACCCAGCTAACTGCCAGCTTCACTTAATCCTCTGGAGATTCATGAAGGCAAAGCCATAGAACAACATCATTGTGGCTAATCCAGTGCCTGTCTGACTGATGTAGTGTGGACTTTGCACATGCACAACGGCATCAGGACCCTCCACGGATACGGCGGCGCAGAAACGAGTTTTCAGGCCTGTGCCAAAAGAGATAAGAGGCAAAAATCGGAGGAAGTCCGGTGCAAGGCCTGCTAATCCACAAATGGTGTGCGCTGTCACCCTAAACCACATCTCGGCTCTCTGTGTGTTTGCTTCTAGTAGGGGGGTTGCTTGGATACGATCCGTTTGCAGATTTTCAAAATGTTTTTGTTTGACTAAGAGAATATTCATTTCAGCCTCTCCCCGTCTTTCCCAGCCAAGAGAAGACGTTCCAAACTGGCCTGTATTAAGACTATTGTTCTTAGAAGTTGGAATGAAAAGCACAACCATTATATATGTTTTTGAAAGGTTAAACGTTTTCTTTCTGTAACTAGATGTACTGTATCACTTTCCACTTCATTAGTCAAAATAAATAAATAAATAAAAGAATAAAATCAAGTTTGACAGAAAGACAGTGTTGATGAATTTGTTGTAAATGTACAGTACGAAGATTAACTGCATCAAATGTCAAGTCAAAATGTTCAAATGAAATTAAACTTTATCAGGCAAATAATAATCATATGACAATATAGCTGCGAATGCAGACCACAAGGCCAAAAGATTTTTGGACTGCAACCATCAGGCTTTGTGCATTAAACTGGTCATAAACAGAGGCTTAGCCATCTGGTAAGGTGCTATTGGATGCGGTACTTAGTATAACTGGTTAAATTTATTTTAAAATCTGACCTCTTACATGGTGGACACTGATCTAGCAGAAACAATTTAAAGGATAATGTGTGTATGTGTGTGTAGTATGTACATAAATATTATTGTGTAAATAATTGTTTAAAAATATATTTAATATATTATATAATATATTAATATATTATTTTAATATATTATTTAAAAAACAAATGAATAAATACTGTATATGTTATTAAAATCAAAAGTTGTATCTGTTTAATAGACCTGAGCCAACATTTATTATCTAATAATTACAATACTATAACAAATGTATTGCTCATTGTTGCTTAGTGTTAGTTATGCATTAAATAACAGAGACCTTATTGTGAGACCTTATAAGGGACCTAATATAGTGTTACGGTTACCAATATATTTGTAATATTTAAGTTATATTTAATTCGATTTTTATTCGTTTTATTTATAATTATATTTAGTTATATTCCATATATTAGTTTTATATATCCATATATATGTATTATATACATAAATATAATATATATTATATTTTTGTGTTATATACATAAATGTAATGTGTGGTTTAAACAATTATTTAAATAATATATTTAATTAATAATAATATTAAGAACAAATAATTATTAAATAACAAATGAATATAAATTATTGAGATAGATAGACAGACAGATAGACAATATAATATCATAATATAATTTCATGCTCTATTCATGATTCTATTCAGGAATGTTTTGTTATGCAGTTTACGTGCTTGTTTAGAAATTATTTAGTGTAGTGTGACCTCCTTAAAGCCAAGTAAGTAATTAGGTTGTCTTCATTTATTAGCTAAGCCATTGATATTTTGTAACTGAATACAGGGCCGGACAACATTTGTGCAGGAGATTCGCTGCTCACCCTGACTTGATCTCACAGGTGTCCTGACTCTTTGCACCATATGGCCGCCCTTAGCCATGTTCTGCTGCCACTGTACTGCCACATAGACCTTTCCATCAACATGATTAACGACCTTGTCTGTCTAATGGGAGTCGGACCAGAATTTAGTTTCACACGTCCTTTCTCTTTTCCCTTTCCCTCTTCTTCTTCTCCTGTTCTGTATTCAGATGGATCCTGTTCAGAAGGCAGTGATCAACCACACCTTTGGAGTCCCACTGTTGAAGACCAAACGGCCAATCATTTCCTGTAATGTCTGCCAGATCCGTTTTAACTCGGAGGTAAGGTATCTGATATTGGACCGTTTGACTTCATGCATGTTTGGTGTCTTACTCAAATGGCTTGTTTTATTGAAGACATGAAATGGTATATAGCGTTCTTTGAGTGAGTTTTCTATGTAATATGAGTGTTATGTTTATACTGCTGAGATATTTTGCACACTCTGCTTTCTAGTCCGGAAATAGCCAACGGCAAATCCTCTTTGAAGTACTGTATCCGCAAAGCACGTCAGGATGGAAGCTTACAGCATGAAGTGTTTTTTTTTCTCTCATTCGACGATTAAAACAAGTTTGAAGAAAATCTCTCTCAACATAGTCTTAATGAAGATATTATTTCCACAAGTAAGAACTTCCTACGAAAACAACTTCCAGTTTTTCCATTTCAGACTTGCCACATTCATTTATTGCAAGATCTGTATCGCACATTTTGACGTTACAATATTCCTCATGCATCAATGAAAGCAATTATGTTAGTTGTTTATGCACCAAATTGCTGCTACGCTTGTTGGGGGAGAAACTTTAGCCTGAAATATTCTGGGCTGAATTTGGTTGCAGCTGTGGCAGACATTGTGACGTGTGAGATTAGTAACGGAGCAGGACCTGGGAGTGCCCCACTAGCCTGCGCTATTTTTACGGACGAGAACTGTAATCATGGGCAGAAAGTGGCTTTCTTGGTGTGAGCCTGTAATCTCGGCCCTCCAGTCGAGCAGATGTATGGCCTTCTTTAAACCACAGCCACAGACAATGAAAGACAGGGAGAAGATGGGAGGCCAAGCCTGCTTGTGGAGACCTGCGAAATTTGCTGTTAGCCCAGCTCGCTTTTAAAGATTTATGGGGAGAGAATTTGAGACAACTCAGCAATTCTCTTAAACAACTGGACTTAAGAGTTGTAGTTAGTTCAAGGGAGGTGAAGATCAGATTGAAGTTTTGTACTACAGTTATTTTTGTCATCTAATGTTGCTTTGTTTTGGTTCACAGTAAATATCCTAGACGGTCGTTACTTGTTAGTTCAGCTATAAATTCCACATCCCAAAGTGCCACCCAAAGATGCCTTTAGTTTACAACCCAGTTCATGACCCTTAAGTCAAACGAGTTTGACACAACTGCTGATTGGATATTTCTGACACCTGCAGCTGTCCTGGTTTGTAAAAAATATTCATATTCTTTCAACACCCCCGTTTTTACAATGTCTCCCTGCTTGCCATCATTGCATTTAATGATACACAAATTTAAGCATGTAGCAATTTCCATGAAAGGGGTAGAATATGGGGGCTGCTTTTTCTTTCTCTTTATTTATTTGTTTGTTTAATTGAACATTTTGTCATTGTTTATTCATTAGAATCTCATGTCGCTTCAAATCTGTATGACTTTCTTTTGCGGAAAATACAAGAAGATATTTTGAAGAATACTGATAACCAAACTGTTTTGGTTACCATTGACTTCCATTGTATGAACAAAAACAAAACACAAAGACATTTCTCAAATTATTTTCTGTTTTGTTCGACAGAAGAAAGAAAGTCATGCAATTTTTAAACAACTGCGAGTGGGTAAATGATGACAGAATTTTTTGGGTGAACTATTACTTAAATGCCCATTTAAATCCCATTAATCTCATGGCATTATTTATCCAATTGTGATTGACCCGTCGCAAAGACCCACCCCCTTTGTTACTGTTGCTATGTCCGACAAGCCATGATGCTCATGTTCTCACGCAGTGAAAAATACATCATGGAGCAAAAAGGACAATGACAACGTGCCGAAGGACAAAACAGAGCAGGTTACTTTAGGTATGAAACAAAGTCACAGCTTTAAAATTTTGTCATTTAAGAAATTGAAACGATAAATACTGTGTTGTGGCTCTTTAATGTGTCGTGACAGATTAGCAGCTCAGTTCAAGCAGCACATGAACCGATCGCCTCTTCCTCTTTACTAATTATAGCATGAAATAAACATGAATGAACATGAGAAGGTATCTTGTTTCAGCCGCAGAAAGACATCGATGCACACCTTTTTTTATGTTCAAGTCCACCGACGTTAATCTCCTCTCGTTTGTCGGACAAAAATGGCAGATTCAGCATTATGATTGGTCAGATTGCCTGTCAGTAAAACTCCCTGGTTCTCACAACATTGAAACAATGTAGTTTTTTGATTGTTTTTTTTAATGTACTGTATCTGTGGAAAGTGCCACATACACACACTCATCATCCCACATACAAACTCACACATTCTTTTATCAATGTCCTAACAATTTTAACTTTATTGTTTATTTTTAAAGTTGTCAGGCATCAAATGTTCACGTCGTCCAATCAGCAGTGAGCAAAAGACAGAGAGATCAAAAGAAAAGACATCAAAGAATTGCGAGTTCTGATCTTGTATTAGATATTGTGCTGCGTCTTTCATGCATTGTTGCACTGGAAACGATTCAGCTACGTTAAGAGATTAAATTATACAATGCCATCTTTCATTAAATGGTTACACAGAGCAATGAGTCTACATTTTGTTCCTCTACTATATGCTGAATAAAGCAATGCTTTTGTTCCTTGAAAATATCTATTCCCTTGCCTCCTTCCCATCATCATTTCACGCTCCATTATGGATTCATAGATTCCTAACCCCCAGTGCCGATAACGGAGGACATTTGTAGTGGAAAAAGCAGACTATTGGCTGCCAGCGTGTGTTATCTGATGCATTCATCAAACTAGGGGCTCAGAGTTGTGTTATGCTGTGCTGCCAGTGTCCCTCTGTCCCTTTCACTCTAGCGCAAGATGGAGGTATAACCTTGCCGCGCTGCAGAAGTGATGTCACCATATTGTGTCACTGTTGCTGTAGGACAGGGTTGACTGCGCGTCCCTCCGCCAGAGCTGCAGTGGCCCACCGCTGTCGCACAATTTCCGTCATTCGCTGACTGGTTTTCCATCACTAGGGCAAATTAACCTTCCATGTGCATGTTGAGCTTCGGGAATAGCCACAGCTGTCAATCCTCATTTTGCAGTCCTTTCCCATTTTGTTGTTGTAATTGTATTTTTGTTGGCTTATGTTGCATTACATACTGTTCACATGTGGTTCGATGAGACAGAGACAATCTGTGCCCTAATTTGTCCTCTGAAAAGTTCTTTGTGCTCCCTGTTTTTCCATCGTTGTGCCTAAAGTTTTTTTTGTGCTCTCAAAACCAACTCATCTGTCAACCCCGTGCCATCTGGACGCGAACTTTCCTAATTTCCTTATTCTATAGATAGCGCTGCATTCAAACGAGCACATCATTCTCATTGGCACATCATGGATTTGGCTTGGTTCTTGATTTGTATTTATCGTTGTGCCTAAAGTTTTTTTTGTGCTCTCAAAACCAACTCATCTGTCAACCCCGTGCCATCTGGACGAGAACTTTCCTCATTTCCTTATTCTATAGATAGCGCTGCATTCAAACGAGCACATCATTCTCATTGGCACATCATGGATTTGGCTTGGTTCTTGATTTGTATTCATATCTAATGGCTGAGGTATTCTTCACACATAATGTATGCCCTCTCTTGTAAGTCGATTCATTAAGAAAGCATTCACTGAGAATTTCAATGAACGGATTCTGTATGTGGGTTCAGAGAGTTCAAACGTGAAAATTGGGTTTGTATTGCTAAAACTGGTCTGCTTATCTTATTGAATTAGAGTTAAGAACTGGCCAAAAGAGCTTGGCTACAAGATAGTGTCATTTTATCAGACAGGCTGTCACAAACTTTTTTTTACTGGAAACAAACAACACTCAATTCCATGAAGGGTTCTCAAACATGAATTCTTCCACCAGTGTTGAAGCACCACTGTACTAAAATACTCTGACAGAGAACTGTACTGCTATTCAGCGGTGACACAACAGCATTACTGAATTTACAGCATGAAGTAGACAGCTTGAACCATGTTGTCTGATTGCTTTTCTTTGTATTCAATCAAAAATATGCTGTGCAACCAGTGAGACTCCTTAAATAATGATTATTATGAGCCCATTCTTTTTAGGGAATCAAAAACAGTCAGTGCAACCAATATATTCTGATTCCCAAACAAAACACTAGTATGAGCCGGTTCTTCAAAGTAAATCAAAAACTTGCAGCGCAACCACTGTATCTGACTCATGAACAAATGACTCTAATGAATCAGTTATTTTTAGTGAATCAAGAACATCCAGCACAGTCAGCCTAGTGTCCGATTCCTAAAAGGATTCCTAAGAAGGTTGTTTTTTTGTTGTTTTTTTTATTAATTGAAAAAAATATGTGCGTATAGACTGATTCCCGGACAAATTATTTTAATGAGAAGTTTCTTTTTAGTCAATCAAACAAATACAGCTTGCAACTAACTGTGAGAAATAATTTCTAAAGATGCACAAGATGAGTTTTGTTAGTAGTGTTTTTTTTATTTGTTAGTCTTTTTTTTTATATTACCACATGTATTATTTGTTTTGTATTTTTGTGTAACATACAGTACAGGTAAAGCTAATTATTTGATTGCATTTATAACACCTGTGTAAATGCATTTTTCAAGAATTAAAAAAAATTATTTATCTATGCAATGATTTTTTAAAACATATATTTAGTTCTGTCGGTGCCAAAAGCCTTGTGGGCAGCGTGCCGACATATAGCACCGTTGCGCTTCGGGTGTCCCGAATTCGAGTTGCGGCTCGCTAACCTTTCACGATCCCGCCCCCCCTCTCTCTCCCCCACTTCACTTCCTGTCTCATTACTGTCCTGTCATAATAAAGGTAAAAACGCCAAAAATAAAAAAAAACATATTTAGTTCTTATAAGTACAGTACTAAAAGAATCATTAGTGGAACTGGAATCTTTAAGAGGAATTGGAACCAGAACCGAAAGAGTTAAATTCTTTACGATTCTTATTCCAAGTCACAGACTGTTAGAATAGATATTTGGAATCTCCAGTATTGACATCTCTTTAACTCATGGTTGTGATTACAGCCCTAGACCGAGTCTGTTCCTTGCACATGGCAATGGCATGAACTGTGTTTCTCATTTGTTCTTGGATGTGGAAGTGGATTTTTTCTGCATTTATTTTCTTCACTCTATTGCAAGTCTGATAATTTTTACATTCCTTAACTCATATAGGTTGTTTTACATTCATTTTATGTCTGTGTGATCTCTGTCTGCACCTGTGCTTTAGCCCCATATCCACTGAGCTTTCTGCTAGTTCCTGCCAGAGCCACATGGCTATCTTCTCCTCTTTCCTCCTTAATCCCAGAGATCTGTGCTCTTTTAGTGCCTCTTTCCCACATCCTCCTCAGTTTCCTATGTGCTTTAGACAGGCAGCTCCTTCAAACCCCTGAAGGCTTCGATTACAGACCACCAGCTATATAAGGCTCTGTCATCACCAATTACAGCCCACAACCTGCCACAACAGACAGGAAAAGCCAACCTAATGCCAGCCATTCCCTCACTGCAAGTGTACCCTAACTGTCTCTAAAGGCCTATCCTAGCTGTCTTAATCTCTTCTGTTCCCATGAGTCTCTGCGGGGGTTCCACGCCTCTTCCAATGTTGTGAGCATCTGAGCCCTGGATGACACTGGTATGAGTCTCTTGGTCCTGCTCCCAGTGTCTGCAGCAACTGTTGTCAACTCATTCTCGGTTTCACACAACACATAATCCTGCCACTTAATAATCATCATGCTAGTCTTGATGGGATGCATTCTGAAGTCATCGTTGTTTTGAGAGGCCGCTGCTAGGTGATCTGTTTGAAGCGTGCTGCTGGGAGGCATGTCAGATACAGTGGGTACGGAAAGTATTCAGACCCCCTTCAATTTTTCACTCTTTGTTATATTGCAGCCATTTGCTAAAATCATTTAAGTTAATTTTTTTTCCTCATTAATGTACACACAGCACCCCATACTGACAGAAAAACACAGAATTGTTGACATTTTTGCAGATTTATTAAAAAAGAAAAACTGAAATATCACATGGTCCTAAAAAAATTTAAGGGGGTCTGAATACTTTCCGTACCCACTGTACGTGTTTTGCCGCGTGGCAGCTCCGCTCCCCTGTAACGAGGATGCAGACTACAGGCGACAGCTCCTGTGTCAACGTCTCTGGAAATATCTCTTAATGTGTTCCTGCTAGAGGTCAAGTCAGCGTGATCGATGAGTGGACAGATTGTGCCACATCAGAGATGTGGAATTGTTTATGCAGATTAGAGCTTTCACAATAGTCAAGTGTTTCGTGTTTCCTTTGGTTTAGTGCTGTTTATGCACTGACCGCTGAGACTGCTAAATATATCCTTTCGCTTAACAATGGTCACATTTTCAGTTGCGTCTCTTCATCTTGACTTATTCAAACACAATGTTAATTGTAAAATCATAGAAACACACCTCATATTCACTGTCATATCTAATGATATAACTAATTTTGTCATTTTAATTATACATTATTATTATTAGCATTATAGTTATATAATTAAAGTATAATAATAATAATAATAATAATGTGTATTAAAATAATATTGAAATAACATAGTAGCTTAAAATTATAACCAATTAAACTGATGATATAATTGATGTAAGTCAATATAAATGATTATTACTATTTTATATTCTTCTCCTTACTATTATCATTATTAAATTATATTAAATCAGAATACATATTATTTGTCATGTGTAATGGTATAAATACTTATATAAATACTATTTTATTTCATTTATAACATCTGTGTACAAGGTCTGTTTAAGACATTTTTAAAAATTACAAGAAATTTGAACGTTTTAAAATTTAAATAACTTTTTTATTTAAATAAATATTTAAATAAATCAAACATTTATTTAAAAATTAAATACATTTTTAAAATGTTTTTAAAAAGTAATATTAAAATAACTTACAAAATTATAAATAAGTGTTAAATAATACTTATTATTTTATATTATTATTATTTTCTTTATTATTATCTTTTTTAAATGATATATAGCCAGAATACACATTGTTTGTCATGAATAATGGTTATATGGTATATGTAATTTTTTTTTTAATAATAATAACAACATAAAATTATACATTTATTATTATTATGTATAATGACAATAAACTTGTATTAAAATATAAAAATATTGTAAATAATAATAATTATTGCAAATTTTATTATTTAATTATTATATTTTATATAGAATGGTTTCATGATCAATTTGAACTACAGTGCTGAAATGACCTCATCTATATTATCTAAACTGTTTTATATACAAAATAAATAACATTTTATTTTATTTGAAGTTTATTCGTCTGTTGTTTTGGGGGCTTTACTTTATTAGACACATCTAAAAGCAGACACATAAACAGTGTCACAGTCACAGGAAATGGATTCCATGTGGCATCAGTGTCCAGGGACAAGCATGTAGGAATAAGCCCATTTTATGCCTCCATCCAGTACCAGATGTCAAATATGGCCTGTGTCCTGAGCTTTAAAAACTTTGTAACTCTACCTGTTTTGTTTGTGTGGAGCCTCTTTGAAAGTTGCATTTATAGAATGTTTAAGCAGCACTGTCTGTGTTTGTTTCAGAGTCAGGCAGAAGCCCATTACAAGGGGAACCGTCATGCTAGGAGAGTCAAAGGCATTGAGACCTCCAAGAGCCGCCCACAAGAGAGTGACAAACCTCCTCCCGGGCCTGTCTCATCCCCCTCACCAACGGGACCCTTACCGGCAATCTCAGATACTGACCCCAGCAAAACAGGTAAGAGCTTGAGAATAATGTGATTGTAAAACATGCACATCTGGTTGTCTCTGCTCACTCACACAGAACACTTGGGAAGAAAATGTGTTTCCCCAGAAAAGATATTAAACTGAAGAATATGAAGCTTTCAATCATAATACAAGGGGGTCTATTCTGCTTCAAAACTCTCAGGACACTTAACTCACCCTATGAGACATAAAGACGCCACAAATATTCAATCTTCTCCAAGTGTGTGGTCCGACCTCACTCTTTAAGAAGCAGCCAACTGAACATTCCCAACACTGAAGGTCTGGGATCTGTCACAGGGCAATTACAGCACTGTGTGTACAATAACAGAAAGAGACAAAAACAAGATTCCTCAGTCCCAGGCCAAGATTTAAAATAGCCAATCTATGGTGCATTCCTTGTTTGTCTTGTTGAAACATCTTGAGGAATTTTGGATGAAGGTCTCAAACATGGACCACCTCATTTAGAGTCTAATTTTACTAGAGTGGCGTGACTTTGACCGTCACCGCTTTATTAGGAAGGCCTAGCTGATGTGTTTATGGAGCTGTGTGCAGGACTATTAGGTATTAGAAGCCCATTTTTCTCTGTATCAGAATAAACTTTGGGATTAGGAGGGCTGAGCTGGAGCAGAGGATGAGCAGTGAGTGAGAGTTGGTGAGACAAAGAACGTGGCTATAAAAAAGTTCAGAGGTCTGAGGATTAGCTAAGAGGGCAGAAGGGAAACATCACAGTTGATCTTGCTTTAATGAGAAGTGATTAAACATTGGCAGATCATAATGATGGTGAGATGAAATGGGGGCACAGAGTTTATAAACTGCCAGAGGGTGGGTGACTCCCTCTTGTGCTTGTTATTTGCCGCTCTTCTTTTCCCGTTCTCTTCACGTCTGTGCTCCCTGCTCTTTTCATGCGCCAGTTATTGCCAGCCTCAATCTGGATCAAACTGTCAGAAATGAGGTATAAAAAAAATACACAACCGGTAGATGTTTTATGAGAAGCTTTAAAACAAGTGTTTGAATTTCAGTTTTTAAACTACACTCGTGAACGCCAAAAGAAATCCATATCAAAGGCCTCAGAAGGACCATGGATTCGATGCCTATTGCAAGCTCTTATTTAACGTTCCCTGTAAGTCTGTGTGTGACTTACACACACACACACACACACACATCTGGATATCTAGATGCATACCAGTATAATTTAAACTGTTGTTGATTTTGTTGTAATGTTTACTAACTTATTGTCTTATGACATCAGGATGTGTTTGTTTCTCTATTTAAAATGATCTGTTAGTTGATTGTTACCCTAGTCACAGTTTTATGGTCTGTGAGTGGCATTTTAAGATATTTTATGAGCCTTGTTTGTCTCATAAGTGTGTGATGAATATTCATGTGAGTCTGTGGTAATTTAAGACAACTAACATTTTGTACAATACTCTTTTTACACTTTACACTCTTTGTACAAAACACTTTGTAACTCATTGTACAATTCTCAATCTGAAAATACAAAATGAAGTACATAATATTGAAATCATTAATAGTTTTTTTTAATCCAAATACACTACCATTCAAAAGTTTGGGGTCAGTAAGATGTTTGAAAGTCTCTTATGCTCATCAAGACTCCATGTATTTAATAAAAAAAATACAGTAAAAACAGAAATATTATTAAAATGGAAAATTACTATTTTCAATTGCAATATATTGTAATTTTTTTCCTGTGATGGCAAAGCTGTATTTTCAGCAGCTATTACTCCAGTCTTCAGTGTCACATGATCCTTCAGAAATCATTCTAATATGCTGAAACATTTCTTATTATTATTATTAATGTTGAAAACTGTGCTGCTTAATATTTTTGTGGAAACCATGATACATTTTTTTCAGGATTCTGATAAATTGAACGTTTAAAAGAGCAGTTTTTAAAAATAGAATTGTAAAAATAATGGCAGATATTTAGTCATTGTAACTTGACATTTTAAGACATTTAAATATTTTCAATTCCAAAAAATGTCATTTTTTAAGTTTCACAAAAATAACATACAGTATCATATACAGAATGATTGCCTTATTTTCCACATCCCCTTGTCCTGCTTATCATCTCTTTCACTGAGGATGGAGGAGGACAGTATAGCCATGTCTCTCACTGAGGGATTTGCCTGTCCAGAGAAAACTGTCTATAGTCCTTAGGCCTAGAAAGTATTCCAGAGGGAGGGAGCCAAAACAAACTGGCCATGATCTAAATGTGAAACCAGATACATATGAAAGAATGCCGTTTTCCATCCAAAGCTTACTCCCGTGACCCCGACCCCTAGCGGGCCGGTGGCTCGCTTGTTTGTATATCCCGACAATTGCTTTGTTTTGATGCCTTCCCATAATACTAGTTTCACAACAGAGCCTTCATTGAGCTGCCAACCCCTAGAGTCCTGACAGCTGCAGTTCCATCTGGACATTGCAATCCCAGCGTGTGTAGAAGTGTGTGTGTGTGTGTGTGTGTCTGGGTGAGATTGTACAGTGTAGTCATTTTGTAAAAGTTTAGAGCTCACTGGGTGTGTTTCTCTTCATCTTTTTTTTCTACTTCCACTGCAGTCAGAGATTAACTTTGAAGCACGTGACTAGATATTGGGGATGCATCAGGGCTCAGTGCTTGGGCCTAATCACTTTATCTCACTTGTCTACGCATCTTGCTGGCTGCTCTGTGTGTGTGTATTTTTATGTGAAAGCTCAAGAGGAGAATTCCCACGCTTCATGAGAAACACTAGGCTGTGTTGGACCTCAACTGCCGGAGATGTAATTTATTGATGATTTTGTTTCACGCATCACTAGATCCAGCATTTTCTCAGAGGTAGAAAGACAATACTCGGTCCTGTGGAGTCACCTTTACAGTGGCTATAGAGTTTCAGTTGCTTTCTGCATGTTTCCTTGAACCAGTGACCATCTTCTGAACCATTATCACTGGTTCAGAAGATGGTCACTGGTTCAAGGAAACATGCAGAAAGCAACTGAAACTTAAAAATAAAAGTTTACATTTTTTTAAGAAATTGAAACTTTTATTCACCCAGGATGCATTTGTTACAGTTACAGTAAAGCCTTTATAATGTTACAAAATATTCTATTTGAAATGTTCTTTTGAACTTTCTATACTGTACATTAAAGAGTCCTGAAAAAAAAAAAACTGACACGGATTGCAGTAATGGCTGCTGAAAGCTTTGCCATCACAGGAATAAATTACATTTTAACATATTAAAATAGAAAAACTTTCTTTTAAATTGCAATAATATTTCTGTATTTCTGATCAAATAAATACAGACGTGGTGTATTTTATGACAGAATTGTTTAGGTGAACTTCCCTTTAAGCTGAAATTCAAGCTAAAAAATAAATTCCCAACCAATGTACGTAGTTTATGCTCAGATGCAATCTTAGCTCTTTTACAAAGAATTTAATTCGTGGTTCATCTAATTCTTTAAATTTAACTTTTTTCTTTCTTTTTTTACGTTTCCTGTTGTAGGAACACTTTTATCCCAGTGAGTATTTGTTGTAAGGTTTGAATGCGGCTAACAGGGCCCATAATAACATGGAGACTTGGCAGGATGCGCAGGAGGTTTGGCATTGAACAGTTTTAGCACTCTGTTTGTCCCCAAGATCCACTTCTGCACAGTCACTCTGTTTAATGAAGCTATACATCTCCAGCAGTCTTCTACACATCTGGAGATTGTATAGAGACAGAAGGCTGCACGACACTCGTCTGGGCCTCCATATTTCACAGCATAAGCTTGAAGTGCCATTACATTTCCAGCTAGATCTTTCTCCATCTCCGACAGCTCTGTTCTATTGAGCTACAGTGGCAGAATCACCACTCTAACATGCAGACTCTATAAAAGACGACGAGGATCGTTTGGTAAACAGGTCTGCTGTAATGGATGGAAGATGCATCTGGGAAACAGCGATCTGAGCAAGGTAAATGAATGCACCCGACTCCATAATTAATAAGTCCCAAAGCTCATTGGGGCATCTTGTTTCAGGGCTCATTAATCTTTGATGATGGGCAGGGTAGAAGTGGGGTAAAGGCCAGCCTCTCTTCTGCCTGATCCCTAGAACATCTGATCCACCTGCATAGGTCACAACCAGACCCCTGCTTCACCACGTCACACACCTTCTTCTCCGCTACAGCTGTCAGTGGCTGTGTAACCAGAGCAGCATTAATAGCAGGTTTAGTTTACTGTCTGGAAACTGAGAGATTGTCCTCGTGGGTTCAGGTTCTGTATGTGGAGTCTGTAACTAAGCTATCATAATTCTACTGAATGCACAGGCATCATTTACGCTTTCTGTCATGGCCGATTTAGTCCCAACCACGAGTATACATCCTGTTGTGTGTTATAATTAAGTGACAGCCCACTAGAATTTGTAATAATTTGTTATATTTTGTGCTCTTCACCTCCCATTTGCTTTTTGCACCCATTGTATCAGTTACAGTTATTTCAGAAAAAACCTGTTCCTGCTGCTCATATATATTCATATAAATATTACAAATCTTATATTATGGTGGATTAGAACACAGAAGATCACATATTTAAAGTTAAATCATTAAAACTAAAAAAAGTAATATCTAATAGCAGATGGTTTAAAATATAATTATTTTATTCAATGAATTCAATGTTTAATTGTTCCCTAAATGAGTTTGTACATATTTTAAGAGTATATTTTTGATATTAGTGCTGTCAAAATTAAGGTGTTAAGGCAGGCGATTCATTTTTGCAGTTTAACAGCGTTAAAAATATTTAAATGCAGAGGCGGAGCTAAGATTGGCCACCCCACTCAGAACTGCTGCTTCTGTCTCTTTTTTTCTTCACAAGAATTGCATTTATTTAGATGCAGAATGTCTTTACGAACACATCAAACAGGAGACTTTTCAGACGCGCACTCCACTTCGCCTCAGCACCAGGCGTTAGTCAACGAGCACTGAAACGGTACAGGTGATGAGGCAGCTTCAGCAGAACAACAGTGAACTGCGGTCAGATGAGATGTTGTCAGGCCATATGTCAGTAAAAATTTATTTTCCTGTCCTGTCAGCCATTATACTGTGCTCGTAGTGCGTGCTCTTCAATTGCATGCACAAATACATTGGCGCGCACAGTAGCCTGTATCATTTCATATTATAGTATAAATGAAACTACGAGCATGCGTGTCAGATTGCATCACGTTCAGCAGCAGCAGCTCTTAAAGTAATAGCAGCCAAATAACCTAATAACCCAGCTGCTGTGATGTCTGTTCATCAAAGAACAAAAGAAAAAAAGAGGAAATCAATAACTTTTGTAGCTTTAAGCATTCATCTATATTTAATTTAGAATTTATTGTTTGATAAATTTATTCAGTTTCTGTATATTTCCTACTTGCTGAATGGCACAGGAAAATATGACATTTATTCTAATGGGCTTATGTGAAGATTATTTTAAGTTTACTAAAATTAGAAGTTGTTATTTTTTAAAGTCTAATAAATGTTCAAATTGATAGCTCTCAATTATACTGTAATGTTGAATGGCTACAGTTAATGGTTAAATAGGCTATTAGGGGGAAAAAAAACAATTTCCCAGAGACATCAGTAGTATTGGTATCAGTAATACTCACCTTCAGTCATTAAAAAAAGATGCCATTAAATAAATGTAAAAAATATACTGTATGTTGTTTCTACATTAATTAAATTAATCGCAATTAATTTCAGAAAAAAAATGTGCAATTTGGTTACTTTTTTTAATCGATTGACAGCACTAATATATTACTTTATCAAATAGGGCCTAAATTCATTTGAACATATTTTAAAAGAGTGTATATTTTATATTAATGGATTTATTAATGAATATATATATATATATATATATATATATATATATACACACACACACACACACAAACCATGTATGAGTTCTGAAGTTATTTAGCATGGATGCATTCAATTTATAAAAATATTTATAATGTTACAAAAGATTTCTATTTCAAGTAAATGCTGTTGTAATCATCAAAGAAAAAAGTTCCACAGAAATATTAAGCAGCACAAACTGTCTTCAACATTGATAATAATAAGAAATGTTTTTTGAGCAGCAAATCAGCATATTAGAAAGATACCAAGTGATGTCCATAATTCCCTGCCCACTGTTGGTTTGCAACAGTTGCACTTTTAAAGTAATATTAGAGTCATAATATTTGGGGGTTCTTTTGGACCTCTGAACCTTCTTAAAAATATTTACATCATTACTAGCTAGTGTTTACAGCAGCTGACTCCTTCAGCAGTTGAAGGAAGGCGTGTGTTAATTTAAGAATTAAATATGAGTCTTCTGAGATTACATGTTGTGTAACCGCACTTTCAAATATGCAGAGCAAGAATAAATGGAGGGCAGACGGGCACACTTTGCAGCGAACATGGAGGGCATGTCAATGATGGTGGTGGATGGCAACCATCCAGAGGATGGAGGATTCTGAAATCCCCCATTACACACTCTCCTCCACCCCCAAACCACGATCTGCTAACACAAACCACATGCACATGGCCAAACCCACATTTTTTCACTACACACGCATAGTGTGTGAGTGTGTGTGTTTGTTGGAGGGTGGGGGCCTGAAAGGGAATGAGGTGTGTTGTGGAAAAGAGCCCTGGGAATATTAGATCAGAGTTAAAAGTTCAAGCTATTCAAAACCAAACCTGCACCAAGTACAAGCCATATAGTTTGGTCCGTCCATTCTGATGCTATAATAGCTATTGGCCGAAGCATTGGTCTATATTTGGTGTTTTTTTTGAAGGGGTTTTCTGTAACATCCTGTATCTTCCAAAAGAGCAGTATGTCATCGCCCCGTGCTTTGATCCAGATGATCTTTATGAGGCTCTGACAGGAGATCGAGCCCAAAAGAAATATAGAGCACACTCTCATCTGCTCCACAAACAGAGAGACACTGAGAAATCTGCCTGGAAACTTCCAATGTACAGAGAGAGAGGACTGTTTCCTGTAAAACGAGGGATCTAGTTGCTTCTAACCAGCTCTTATCCACCTGCCATTCAGGATTTGCCACCACAGCAGAGGCTGTTGAACTTCAAATGCCATGGTGAATAAAATCTGAACACTGTGTTTCTTCAGGGGAGGGGAGGGAATGACTAAGAGTTTATGTAAGACGTTGTGGTTAAATGTTTGTAAAATGACAAAAACACACATCATCTTTGTAAGGAAATTGAGTGTTGAAGTCACTGCTTACTTTTCCCCCCCAAGAGATACTTTTTCCTAGTCTTTCTAAAGCCATAATCTGTAGGTTGGATGTTTGTTTTTTAGTTGATAACCCATTTTTTAAACTGAAGGTGACAGCCGGAACTGTGTAACACCCTGCTCCAATTTGAGGGTTTTTTAGTATGAACCCAAAGTAGGGTGAATGACAAAACATGTTTTTCTCTGTAAAGTAATTGGTTCTAGCAATGCCCGGGTCATGGGTTTGATTTGAGTTTTTATTTAATACTTTTATTCAGCAAGGCTGCATTAAATTGGTCGCAAGAGACAGTTAAGATGTTTTATAATGTTACAAAAGATTTCTATTTCAAATAAATGCTGTTGAACTTTCTATTCATCAAAGAATCCTAAAAAAACAGTTAAGCAGCCTGACTGTTTTCAACATTGATAATATTAAGAAATGTTTCTTGAGCAGCAAATCAGCATATTCGAATGATTTCTGAAGGATCATGTGACACTGAAGACTGGAGTAATGGCTGCTGAAAATGCTTCAAGTTGTATTACTGTTTTCACTGTATTTTGATCAAATAAATGAAGCCTTGGTTAGAATTAGTTCAAAAACTTTCCTTTACCTTTTCTTGAGGCAGTTATCACTTGAGGCAGTTATCACAGGTTTTGTTTAGTCTCTATTCGCACGGGATTAGTATTACCTGGTGACCTCCAGTCATTTGTAATAATTGCGGAGGTTGTCTGTTATTTTAATCCCGTGCGAATCGGCCATGTCTTTAATTTGTAAAGTAAAAATTCCCCCGCAAATGACCTACCAGATAATACTAACCCCGTGCGAATAGTGCTTAAGTCAACAGAAGTTAGAAGCAAAGACTGCTATTTTGAGTCCTGGATGCTCTGAAATGTATGTTTATATATTGCTAAGCATCTCCCATTTTACTTGACATATTAAACTAAACAATATGTGAAGGCTCATAAAAATACAAACATATGTATATAATTTTATTTTATGAAGTTAGTCTTTTTGCAAACTTGTTTTTATGTGGTCTATAAAAGCTGGGGTTGCTCACTTTAAGACGAGGTATTTGAGGTACGCCTGGTTTGAGGTTTACAGGAAAACACATTTCTGTGGCATGAAAGCTCTTGAATTCCTGCGCTGCAGTTTTGCTATTTAAAAAAATGAAACAGCAGAGGCCATTAACTTCCATAAATACTCCATTTAAATGTCATTTTGTTGTTTGCTTTGCCTTGCAGATGAGACGTGGCCAGTGCCACAGTTAAATGGACCCGCGGTGGCCCCAGGGTCCGCGGCCATTTCTGCTCCCCCTACCCCAGAATCCCCCGGTCCTTCCACCTGTCCTCTTCTGCCCACCCCCACTACCCCTCAACTACCTCCAGCCACCTCCTCATCTCCCGGCTGTGGCTCTTCTAACCCAGAGCAGGCTGGCACCGGGGCCCCTGGGGCGCCATCAGTCACCCCAAGCAACCCTGAGACCGAAGAGGACAAAGCCAAGAAGCTGCTTTACTGCTCACTGTGCAAAGTGGCCGTCAATTCACTCTCCCAGTTGGAGGCCCACAATAAAGGTGAACATTCATTTAGCGACAGCTCATCTGAACTGAATAACTTACTGTGCTGACTGATTACACAAAACATCCGTCATTTGGAAAAAAGAGTCTCCAATGAGCGCTTAGAGGTGGATAGATTATACATAATAACAAATGCTCCATGCATTTTCTTGTTTGAGGGACTCACTAGTCTGTACATGTGACTTTGTACTGCTATGGTTTTAAAATGCGCAATGTTGTTGCAAACAGAAAAAGCAAATGCAGAGGTTATATAGTGTTTCTCTGCTCTGTTAATTCTACTTTTAGGCGACAATATTTTTGCCAGTGGCAAGGAAATTAACCAACCAACCAACCATAAAAAAAAAAATATATATATATATATATATATATTATTATTAAATTGCCTTATACCTGTGTGTGTGTATGTATATATATATATATATATTTATTTATATGTGTGTGTGTGTGTGTGTGTATCAGCAATGGCACTTTTATCTGACTGTTATCTACTAATTAACTGTTATTTACTAAAATATCTGTAAAAATATTCATAATATATAATATAATTATATAATATATATATTCATAATATATAAAATATCTCCATAAAGCTTCCTATCACAAAACGTGAAGACATATTATTGTTTGCCATGTTGTGCTAAATGCAATAAATGTTCCATATAGAATATTACATTCATTTTTTTCATAAATTATGCATACTAGATACATTTCTGTTGGCAGATTTTTTCTTTCTTTTTATTGATTGATTGATTGATTGCATAGAGTCAGACTATCATTCCGCTGGAATAAAACCATATTTCTGTTCCTAATAAAGTTGCTGACAAACTGGGAAATAATGTACTTAACAGGATTTTTATAATCCTTATTTAGATTTTACTTTTAATTTTGCACTTGCAAATGTTAAATTCGAACCTTCTGGTTGTCTTTCTCAATACATGCTCAAATGACTTCAGAAGACATAATTATTTTAAGAACAGTCTGCAAGATTGATCTTGTTCTGTGAACAGCAGAAATATGCTTTGCGTAGCTCAAGGCAGCTCACTAGAGGAACACTAGCAATTACGTCCATCACCGAAAAACCCCTTTAAACTTCTAAAACGGGCGTCTTTAGAAGCTTTCTCTCTCTCATGTTTTATACACAACTTTACAGCGCCGCTTGTCCTCTCGGTTTGCCCCAAAGGTGTGCACAAAAAATGAATGAAGTAGATCAGCTTTTGTACTGCAGTGCAGCTTGTAGTATTTTAGGCAGTGTTTGATTTCTCGTGGTATATCGAATGCCTGAGCATATCTCATTCTGCTCTATTATTCAGTTTGTGTGAACACAAACAGCCCTGTTTGATGAGATGAAGGTGAATGTAGAGAAGACTTTGCTGCAAAAGCACACACAACTCTATTTATTATTGATCTCCTCTTTTATTTATCAGGGAAAACTGCAGTCATAGTTTCAGTGTTTATACCGTCTGTTTAGGAATTTCTCATGTTGAGCTTGTTGATTAAATGGTCTGTTTTTCCCCGGGCCAAAAGAAATTAATGCCTTTACATAAAGTATTTGACAACTGTTTATGTGGTCTGAAAATTAAACGGCGCATATTCACACTTTGATACATGGAAGCTACATGGAAGTCGTTCCTCTTGGAACAAGACCATGTTTTAAAGTAAACATTACAAGTTATGAGTGATATCAGGGCGTTGTTGCCAATGGAATGGCAAATTTTAATCAGTCTGGGTTTCAGAAAGCTATCTGGAATCAATACAGTCCATTCCCTAAATTAATTCTCTAAACCACAGCCAAAAAAATCAAATCATATGTTGTGCAGACAACCACAGATATAAGTCGGGAGGGGAAGGGAGAGTTTTAGCGTACTATATTTCTGCAGCTGTATGTTCAGACACAGCTGTCAATTCCTATTTTATCTGTTTAGTTCTCAGATGGCATTTACAAATCACTGTTACACTGTGAAACTAGCAACGCTCATTGCCTGGAACAAATTTTAAGTCTGAATATTGCAAGAGTGCATTTTTGAAGAGCAGTTTGAAGAGAGTTTTTTTTGCCTTGTCTCTTTAAACCCAAACTTAAGGTGAACTTTTGGTCAAGAGGGGGAAAATTAAGCCTGCTTTTGGTTTGGCAAGAGAACATTTCAACATTCCCAATGTTTTCTTGGTTAAGAACAAAACAAAGACATTAGTTCTTAGGAACCCAAGCATGTGGACGTCACGTGTTTTTTGTCCATATCATTGACATTGTGAGGGCAGGCACATGACGCGAAACATTTAAGGAGAACCATGTGTTGCACGGCTCCAAACACAGGAAATGGAGAATTGATGAGCTTCTTTGTAACGAGGAGAGCCAAACTGAACGAATCACTAAGACTTGAGGAATTCAGTTTTGTAACACAGTTTTGAAATTAAAAGCCAGGCAGTATACTTCTTGATTTATGAACAGTACTGTACAATAATGTAACCTGAATGAAATTCAAAAAGGATATGATTTCCAAGTGCAAAGCATTCCAACAAAAGAATGGTGTGACTGCCTATTAGACATGTGGACAGAAATAAGAATCATCCCTAGCATGAGCAGTTGCATTTAAAGTCCGCATGAAATCAAAATTGACTTTATTTACTTTACTAGCGCACATTGCTAGTCTTGATGTGAACAATTAGTCCGTGCAAGTTAATCCACTGAAAAAAATTGTTTGTCTTCGTAATATTTAATCAAAATCTGAACATTTACTTCCGCTCTGGAATGGCATTCCTTTTCTGATGACGTCAGTTTGATGGCTTGGGCAGAATATCCTTAAACACACCCCTCTAACCGTTAGATTGCTATAAGTGAGAGACAGAGAGGAGGAGCGCAAAAATAAAACCATGCCCTCTATTCAATATTCCGTTTCAGCTGGAAATATGTCACTGCACTGAAATAAAGTCGGCAGCAACTTCCAGTTCACAAGGACTTTAATGGTAATTCAAAGCGGAAGATTCAAGAGCCCTCGAGTGGTTATGACCAGATATTGCAATACTGCCTGTAGTTCATATTAAATTAAATGTTATGTATTTATTATTATTATCATAATATAATATTATTATTTTATTATTATTATTTTTGTTGCTATTTTTATTATTTATCATATATTCTTTTTATTACATTATATTATATTATTTATTTTAATTTTTACATTTATTTAATGTCAGAAAAGATTTCAGTTTCAAACAAATGCTGTTCTTTAGAACTTTCTATATATCAGAGAAACCTGGGGGAAAAATACAATTTAGAAAAATATATATAAAGCAGCACAACCGTTTTCAACATTGCTAATAAGAAATGTTTCTTAAGCACCAAATCAGTAATATAATGATTTCTGAAGGATCGTGTGATGCTGAGGACTGGAGTAATGTCTGCTAAAAATACAGCTTTGACATCACAGAAATAAATGACATTTCAAAATATATTAAAGGAAAAAAGTTATTTCAAATTGTAATAATATTTTAAAAATATTACTGAAAAAAAATACTCAATCAAATAATTGCAGCTTTGTTGAGCATAAGAGACTTCAAAAACAGTAATATATAACTCCCTAATTTGTATGCATGTATGTACATATATACAATATATTTTATTTATAACAACACTCAATTTTCAAAACCCCACTTGTATTTCTCCTCACTCCTCAGGCACTAAACACAAAACCATTCTGGAAGCCCGCAGCGGACTGGGCCCCATTAAGGCATACCCTCGTTTGGGTCCGAAGCCCAGCGGGGAGCAGGAAGGCGGGGCCACAGACCCCAATACTCAGGAACGCACCTTCCACTGTGAGATCTGCAACGTGCGGGTCAACTCAGAACTGCAGCTCAAACAGGTGAGCGAGGGTCATGGTGTTCGTAATTGTTTTTTCTTTTAAATGCTTGTCATGCTGTTTACATGCTGTATATATTGTTATCGAGCTAAATTTGTTTCAAAATTGGTATGTTTGATATGTTTGCAGCACATATCAAGTCGAAGGCACCGGGACGGAGTGGCAGGAAAGCCAAACCCCCTCCTGAGCCGACACAAGAAGCACAGGGGAGCTGACCTTGCGGTAAGTGGTAACCAATCCTAATTTAAATGTGCTTGCATGCACATTTAATTGTATGTCAGATTACAATATGATATCGTTGGGTCATAATATTTTTCTCTTCATACAGGATCTCACCAAAGCATTAGGCGCCGGCCTCCTGCCGAGTCCTCTGGCCGTTGCTGCGGCAATGGCAGCGGCGGCCTCCTCCAATCCGCTCGCTCTTCGCGCAGCATCCTCCGCCCCCCATCCGCATCATCACCTCCTTCAGGGTCCGCCCCTCAGCCACGCCATCTTGAGACCAGCTCCGGGGCCCATACGCACCTCACACGGGCCGATCCTGTTCTCGCCATACTGACTCCGCCCTCACCCGCCCTTAGCCAATCACAGCCAGTCCGGAGCCTCACCTCCAAAAGCACACTGTGAAGACGAAAAAATAGTGAAACACCACAGCAATGAGAAGAATCGGCCCATCAACAACAACGTCAATCATCAAACCAAGCAGAAGGGGGCACAGCCACGAAGGAGGGTGCGACTGGCATTCCAACCCTCTTTCCATCACCCTTAACCGCCTCCTTCATCTCCGTTTGTTCAGATCAAGTGATTTATTCGTTGGTGGATGAATGAACGAATGCAGGGATTGTTGGAATAGAGCAATATCGTATGCAGAGTCCATCTGACATCCTTGTTCCTTCCCTCTATTTATACTCATACTGTGAGGTAGCAGCAGTCACATGGTAGCCATACATGCTGGAATCAGTTTCTAGACACCCCAAAACACACAAAGACTACAGTTAAATGTTGTTCGGAATAAATGCACCCTCAACCCTATGCACCTTGAGAAACCTACAGAAACCATCAGTACGCTTCTCGTAGCATTCGCTGTATTCAACTTGTCCTGTCTGGCTTTGGCATCTTTGCAAGAGGAAAACGCCCCAATCTCCGTCGCAGTTCCACCACGTCAAGACTCCGAGCAGGGGATTGTGGGGAAGGTCTTTCCCAATTCTGGCTTGAATTGAGAAGCTTATCATGGCGCCCGACTTCATACAGTCGCATCTCGCTAGGGAAACAGAGGGATTCAGAAGAGACACTCGAGATTTCTTTTGTGTCGCTTTTGCATCCGTTTGCACTAGGAGCGGTTGACTGAAAAACCCCAGACCCCTGTCTTAGATCTTAGAAAATCAGTAGACGTCTATTTATTCTATTGTGTAGCGTAGTTTAGTTCAGAACATCCAAGCTGGTTGACTTTAGAAATATTCCGAAGTGAATTATGTACGTAGATAAGATGGATGGGTACTTTGATTCTCAGAGAAAGGCAACAAACCTAAGCACACACTTGGACTTACAGTACATACAGGCTCCTCTGTTCATTCTGTCTCTGTATGTTCAGTGGACATTATGCAACCCCAAGCAATACGGCCCCCCTTCTATCCGACTTCCGCGTTCAGTCTCACGAGACAGCCTGCATCCCGCAAGGACTGACATAACAGGACAGCCACTCCAGCGGATGCCCATGAGAAAAATTAACAGAGAGAAGATGCAGAGGAGGTCACAGAGGACCCGACTGTGCAATCTCCCCTTTTTTTGGTATGAACTTCCTGTCTTGAATCTAAAGCCATGCAATGCATATTATTTTTGTTCTTTTATCATGATCAATGAATTGTTTTGATGTTGTTGTTTTTTTGGTTCATTTTCATAGCACACTGATACGTTGAAACAGGAATATTTTTCTATGGAAGACTGAAAACCTGCACTCGGGTGGGATCTACATGTAGAAATCGTGTTTGGAGGAAGTAAAGTAACATAAGCATAAACATCAAACTAGGGCCTGTCGTGTTGGTGGAGATACGCGACAGTTCACTGATAAGCAAAGTGCGACAATGTCTTACTGTTGTTTAGATATTGCAATGCAATAAGCAATTGTCATTTGTTGTAGAAGAGAATTTATAAATGGTACGGCTGCTAAAAGGCCTCCACGTTCTTCCACAGAGATAAACTAGCCTTTTTAGGACAAAAGCTGGGCGTTTAAAGCAAGAAAGGGGCACCCACAGGGACGGGCCCTTCATATTAAAGGGTCTTTTCTCATCTCTGAGTGGGGGACAGGGTATATCTGAACGCAAACAATGTGTAGTCAGCCATAGCCTATGCGTATGTAGCTTAGTTCACTTTTTTGTTTGTTCGTGGCATTGTTTGCGTTGTGTGGGAAACGTCATGATAATGCCATTACGTCATGCTAATTGCGGTTAGCGTCCACCATTGTGCTTTGATGGAACGTTACCTCCATTTCTCATTAGTTACTGAGGCACTATTATGGGTGCTGTAGTTTCACGTCGGTGTGTATCGTGTAGTGTTTGTTGTGTGCGTACGGATAGAATCCGGTTCTGGGAAACCTGACAGAATCTGGTTTAAGGGATAGTTCACCGAAAAATTAAACTTTTGTTGTCATTTACTCACCCTCATGTCGTTTCAGACCTTTTTCAACAGGACAAAGGAGGAGATATTTATGAAAAATTACAGTAAAATGACAGTTTTTTAGTGACCAGGGTATCGAGCTCCAAAAAAAGCACCACAGTGTCAAAAAGATCTTTGACTCTTGTGTGAATTCTTTTGAAGAAATAATTATTTAAATCATACTTGCAAACTCGCCGTTCTGACATTGAAATTCACATCATTAGTGCAAATTATTTTTGGTGAGAAGCGCCACCTACTGTCAGAGTGTGAATTTGCATTTTTATTCAGCCCATCTGCTGTTTTTTTTCGTAATCAACTTTTGTCATCATCGTTCAATGTCATATCATATCATTTAAACTATGACATTTTTTTACAGTCACTTTACAGGATGTTTAGGATGTTACCAAAGCAATATTGCTACCTAAACAAAGTTTTATTCTGATTTCAGAATTTTCAAAATAATATAATTTTGAGAAAACTGTTAATTTCAAGATTTTTTTAAAGAAAATTCCCTGACCAAGCATATTGATTCTTTAATAAAATATATTTTTTTGTGTTCTGTGATGTAGTTTTATTCTGATTTCAGAATTTTCAAAATAATTTTGAGAATTAAAAACTGTTAATTTCAAGATTTTTTTAAAGAAAATTCCCTGACCAAGCATATTGATTCTTTAATAAAATATATTTTTTTGTGTTCTGTGGAGGAGAAAAAGAAAAAAAACAGCATATGGGTTTGGAACTACACAAGGATGAGTATAAAATGAACAAGTTTTCATTTTTTTGCGGTGACCCATTCCTTTAAACTGCACATTTGCAATCAGCTGTTTCTATCCCAATCTTAATCATTAAAAACAATCAGTGGATGGTGTTTTCGGCTGATTTCAGATGAGCATTTTGGGGTAACACTATGCGCACTGACAAATGCTGTAGTTTGAAACCACCTGGTTGGTCCAGTGCCCCATTGAAACCATGTGAGGTGATAAAGCCATCACAGCTAACACACTCCACAGGCTCGAGACAGACTCGCTTAGTCCCATCCGTCAACACTGTAAAGACCACATTCATCCTGTAGTCAGAATAATGTCATCACTGTACAGAATTGTCTTTGGTAGATTTATTCAACCTTTCAGGGCAGGTGTAATGTTAGTTGGTGAAGTCTATTTTAGCCTTAGCCTTATTCCACCCCAGGCCTCTCCAGGAGCGGACGCGGATGGAGAAGCTTCGGTCAAACCTCGTCTTGCCAATAAATTTATTTTTGAATTGAGCTGTCAAATGGGATAACAGTATGTGTGATGGAACATAGCAATATTCAACTCATACTGGCTACTCTTGTTTATTGCAATAAGGAAATCAACCAATAGATGCATATGTGAGTAAAATATTATAGATGTAATTTAAATCAAACACAGAAAATTATGGAAATACTTGGTATCAGAGAAACTTGGAGTTACCACAGGAAAAAAATAATAAAAAAATCAATGTCTATAAATCAATAAAGAATATTAAAACTCATATCTCATGCTTCTTTTTTCATAGTTGTTTTTATGAAATGTTATAATTATAGTTTAAGGTTAAAAAAGGAGTCTCTTACAAATTATTTATAACATCAAGACTGTACACTGTAAAAAAACAAAAAAAAAACTGTATTAAATAAATAAATAAAATATAACTTTCACAGAAGAACAAAATCCAGCTGTGATTGCCAAAATATTTATGAAAAAAAATACATTAAAAATGTAAACATACTTACAGAACAACCTGTACATTTTTAAGTAAAAACAAATAATTATTTATAACATCAAGACTGTACACTGTAAAAAAAAACAAAAAAAAAACTGTATTAAATAAATAAATAAAATGTAACTTTCACAGAAGAACAAAATCCAGCTGTGATTGCCAAAATATTTATGAAAAAAAATACATTAAAAATGTAAACATACTTACAGAACAACCTGTACATTTTTAAGTAAAAAAAAATTTAGCCAGCAAATCTAATAGCCCTTTTCTGCTTCCTTTTGATTTGTCCCTCGAACACATGCCAACAACCAACATAATAAAACAGGTGGCATAAAGAAATTCACATGAACAAAGTTCATCAGAAGTAGCCTTTCCACGAGTTGTGGAATATACTAATAGAAGAGTCATACACACAAATATAAGACACCATCACGGTAACAGTTAACACTAATTAAAGTTTAGATAGACAGATCTATACCATATCTTTACCACAGTATTTGAAAAGCAAATCTCTCATTTTTGTTTGTTGTTTCATCAGTGCATTACACAGAAAGTGAAGAATAATAAATTATACTGTGCGTCACTAGATGGCGCTGTAGGACTGATATGCTCACAGCGCATCAAGCTCACTAAAACAAGCAGACAAGTCGGCCAAGTATTTATACACTATCTGCCTGCTGTGCTGCGACAAATTAAAACAAATACCGAGTTAATAGCTAATGAACAGGCTTTACATGAACTAGCACCTTTTGTGATGTGTTCATGTTTTAGTTGTAAACGTTTTAACATTTTTAATGTTGATCTCTGTAATACGCGTATATTGATCATATCACACACAAAATAAGGTGACATGATGTGTCTAAACTTTATATTTACCCTTCCTCATTTGTTGCTTTGTGAACACACTTCACACTTGTATTATACAGATCACTCAAAATGATTCAGCAGTTTGAACACACCTTTTCAAAGCCAATTGTGGAATTTTCATATATAGGCCTATTATATTTGTATTTTACAAGGAAGCTGGGTGTAATAATGTTTATATGAGGATAAACATTTAGGCACAGCCAGGATTTTTTTGTATTTATTTTTTAAGTTGATTATTATTTGTGTTAATCACAGTGAGAGGAGCTACATTATATGTTGAAACTCAATATAAAGTCCCACAATAAGAGTTTAATCAGCTATAAACCAATGATTATGGTTTTTATAAATGGCTATCAATAAAAAGATCTAATATCAAGCTTCAAGGACTTCTAGTGTGATTAGTCAAATGGCATTTAATAATAAACCAAGCAACTGCTATTGAATAGTATTTATAACAGAGCATTTCTGCGAAGCATGTTCATAAATTTGCATCAGCAATCCATGTGTTTCCGAAGAGGATTTTTTTGCAGCGTAGTCGCAATGAATGGTCTTTTTGAAGTGAGCAGGAACCTTTCAATTCAGTTTTCAGTAGTCTCTTTTATCTCTTAAGGATCAAGGAAAATTCTGTTTTTCATAATATCCACCTTTTTAAGGTTGAGACAGTCTGTTCTCAAAATTTCGGATCCGCATCATCCAAACTCAAGGAATAAGAGCAGTTCTGCACTGAAATCTGAGCGTCATTAGAGCTATAATCCTCTCCATGACACTTGAGAGCGGGACGGAGCACAGCTGAAGTACACATACTGGGCTAGAGAGGATGGGTGGAGAGAAGAGGAGAGCTGTGGCAGACACGCATCTCATAAGGACACGGTGTCAGAGTTTGAAAGGTTCACGCGTCGCGCTCTGCAAATGGAGAACTCCATTAGCTGAAATATGTGCCTGGGCTTTTACCAAAGATTTTAGCACAAACCTAAAAGGTCTGTGGGGATAATTACACAGCAAATAACACATACATCCAACAACAGCAAAATGTGAAGGGTGAAAGACATGCAGAGAAGACGGAAAGAAAGTGAACAGTGTGATTAATGCACTTTTACATACTTGACACCTACGAAATATTCTAATGCTGACAACAAAACAAAACACAGTGACAGCGCTGAACTTGACGAGTTCTTTGTGTACGCATTGAGATTATTCACGAACATAAGAAGTAATGAGAATTCCTTCCTTATGATAATGTCACAAGGAAGGGATTTAATTATAGTTTCTGTTCTCAAATCGTTGCACGTTCAGGAATCAGCAGGAAATTAAGCCCTCATAGTGTGCCATTGTAAAAAGCTGATGTCTTACTGTGGTCCACTGTTCGGCCCTCAACTAACAGTAAAACCTATGCTTTACCACAATGTATATGTATATATGATCAAAAGTTTGGAATAATGACGTTTTTAAAAAATATATATTTTTCAAAGAAGTCTCTTATGCTCACCAATGCTGCATTTATCTGATTAAATACAGTAAAAATAGTAATATTTTGAAATATTATTACAATTTAAAATAACTGTTTTCTATTTCAATATATAAAAAATGAAATTTATTCTAGTGATGGCAAAGCTGAATTTTCAGCAGCCATTACTCTAGTCTTCAGTGTCACATGATCCTTCAGAAATCAGAAACCCTGATTTGATGCTCAAGAAATATTTCTTCTTACTATCATCATCATCATCATCATCATCATCAGTGTTGAAAACAGTTTTTGCTGCTTAATATTTTTGTGGAAACCGATACACTACCATTCAACGTTTGGGATAAGATTTAAAAAATCAAAATAAAATAATAATTTTGCAAGGATGCATTCAAAAAGGAAATGCACTCATAATGTTAAATAAGATTTCTATTTCAAAAACAATGCTGACCATTTGAACTCCTGAAAAATTTTTTTATCAGAGATTCCACAAAAAAAAAATTTCAGCATTGAAAATAAAAAGGACCACTCTTAATAAGCACCAATAATAACTGATAAAAATTGAGAACCAAATCAGCATATTTGAATGATTTCTAAAGGATCATGTGACACTGAAGACTGGAGTAACGATGCTAAAAATTCAGCTTTGCCATCACAGGAATCAATTACATGTTAAAATATATTAAAACAGAAAATGTTTAATTTGACTTTTTTATGTGCAAATACTGCTTGTATTATTTGTGCAGTTCACTATGTTCTCTAACCGCCTAAATGCTAACATTGATTTTCCTACCCCTTTTACCCGCTCCTCTCGTCAATCCCATAGAGATGTGCTTCCCTCTGTCATGATGCTCCGGTTGTGAGAGAGCATGGCTTTATGAACCCCATCAGCATCCCAGCAGTGGCATCATACATGTAGAGTGAAAGCTGGAGGCTACACTTCTCTGGAGCTTTCAACCTCTCTGTGTGATACCCATCTCAGAGAGAGAGCAACAATACTGAGATAACTCGCGTCCCTGAGGGGTTGGGGGTGTTCTGATGGCTATTTGAAAGGACATTTGACAGCTTTTCTTTCCCCAGTCACGATTATTTTGGATGCTACCTCAAACAGCAATTCAGATCGTGTGTGTATCTTGCAATCCGACTTCAAAGGAAAACGAACAATCCTGATAATTGGAGAGGGTGCAATTTGTTATATAACGAAATGTAAAAAAGTTCATTATGATAGAACAACTCTAATCCTCTAAATGAATTAATATCGCAGACTTGCGCTGCCTCAAATGGCCACTGCATGAGGGTCACATATAAATGAATAACATGAACGCAGGCTCTTGATTAAATAGACACT